CCCTGAGAAATCGTGAAGTCTTCTCGTCGTAATTGTGTACAGTTGGACCTACATCTTGTTTTCCTAACAAGAATTTTCCCATCTCGTGTTGGGTGAAGCATTGGTGTATTGTGTCTTTATTCTCACGCTTAGTTTTCTGACTTATTAAAGGAGGTTCTGACGTTAGTTGGTAAGTCACTGTTTATGTATACCTCTTTCTTTTTACATTAATAGATGCATAATAAGTCTGCTTTTTCCTGTCATGTGAGTGGAATCTAAAGCATAACACTTTTTTACATGGGATCCTAGTAACGGCTTCTTTTATTTTTACTCTGGTACATAAAACTTGTTTGGTCCTTCTATGATCTGACAGAGTAATTTCTTTACTGTTTGTTTGGTCATATCACTGGGAAAAAAAAGCTGGACTGTTAACTATTACTGCGTCTTTGTCTGATAGTTTATCTTGCCTCAGTTTTATCTTCTTGGAGAGCAAAAGTAGTCACTGAATGGTTATTAAGTTGTTCTTCCATTCTTTTACTGTTTCTTCAACCTTTGTATTAAGAGGATATATTTGCTGGGTATGGCTATCTATGACTGCTTGGATGGTTTGTCACAGTTTGTCATTCCTGGTGTTGATAACTTATGTCAAAGACTGAGGATTTTGTTCTCGAGTTGTGCATCCTGGTGTCTGGTTTTTTGTTAGCGTCTCTCGAAGTTTCATATTTCAATAACTAGTTGGAGATGTTATGTTTGTAGGGTATCTGGACGTTGGTCATTATGAGAGCCTACTTGTAGGTTGAATCAGGGACGAGGAGGGGAGAGGGTGGTGGCATCCATGTTTGTTGTTATTGTTGTGTTGTCGCCTTGAGCGGTGAGTGGGTGGGCCGGGGTCCTCCTGACTACACTTGTTGAATAGTTGATTATTCGGTGTTTCTTGCTGGCCTTGGTGCTGTTTCTCTTAGATTGCGACCTCATAATACTGCAAGGATTGTTGAAGTTAAGAAGAAGTTGTAATTATACAAAGCTTATGGTTACGTTGTTCGGCTGGCAGCGGGGTGTTTCTTTCGGTTTGTGGGCAGTCTTCCTTTGATCTCTATTATTTTCGATTTGTAGGTTTCACTGTTGGTAATCTTTGGTCATTCTGGGTGCTACGTTGGGTAGTGCAGTTTTGCTTGTAACTAGGTCATCATAGGTGCATGGTAGCTCTGATGTGGAGAAAAGTACGGAGCTTGGAAGTCGCTGCTGCCGCTGCCGCTAACCCAAAAACAAGATGGCATCATTTAATGAGACTCGGTGATTATTATCATCATTTCTAATATGGCGTCATTTGTGCAAGTTGTCTGGCTATCACATCTCATATTTATGTTTATTTATTCTACTGTGGGGTGTATTTATCATCTTTATATGTTATGCATCATGTTTATATATAATTTTGAAAAATTATCATAGAGGGCATTAATGTAAATGTGTTATTACGTTTTATACGACATGTATGAGACTCGAGGTGATTATTATCATTATAATTTGACGTCGTGAGAATAATGTCACACTGATGATTTTTCTGTGTACCTGCACGCCAGCACAGTATGTAAGTTTATTTAGGTACAGGTATACGAAAGAGAAGTTGCAGAGATTGGTGGGTTGAATTTGGTTGGGTGTGCAAAAGAAGTAAATTAAAGGGGAGACAGGAAAGGAGTAAGGTTATGAGGATAACAAAAAGATTTAGGTGATGAAAGATGAATATCAGATTGGAGGGAGAGAGTATGGTGGTGGTGAATGGATTCTGATATTTGGGGCTGTGAAAGTGTCAGCGGTTGGGTCTATGAAGAGAGGTGAATCATAGAATGTTGAGGGAAAATGAGTGGTGCACTTACGGTCTGTGGAGACAAAAGAACTATGTCCTTGGAGGCAAAGAGGGGAATGTATGTGAGTAGTTGTTGTACCAACGCTTTATATGGGTGGTGAAGCAATGGGTGAGCGAATGTTGCAGCTGGGAGATGGTGGAGGCAGTGGATATGTACTGGGTCGGAGGGCAATGTGTTGTGTGAATATAATGCAGAGAATTCGTAGTTTATGGAAGTTAGGAGAAGTTAGGAGGAGGTGCGGGATTACTAAACAGTTGTCCAGAGGGCTGAGGAAGGGTTGTTGAGGGTGGTTCGGACATGTAGAGAGAATGGAGCGCCGAAAACAGAATGACTTCAAGAGTGTATCAGTCTGTAGTGGAAGGAAGGCGGGGGTGGGGTAGGGGTCGGCCTAGGAAAGGTTGGGAGCGGAGGGGGTTATTAAAGGAGGTTTTGTTGTTGAGCGAGGGGCTTGGATTCCTGCAGGTATGCATGAGGTGTTGATAGGAGAGTGAATGGAGACAATTGGTTTTTAATATTGCTTGGTGCTGTTGGAGTGTGAAGCATCGTAAACATTTATGAAGGGGTTCAGGGCAAAAACGCAGGCCGGGACTTGGAGGCTGGAGATGGGAAGTACAGTGCTGCACTCTGAAGGAGGGGTGTTATGTTGCAGTTTTAAAAACTGTAGTGTAAAGCTCCTTTCTGGCAAGACAGTGATGGAGTGTATGATGGTGAATGTTTTTCTTTTTAGGGCCACCAGCCTTGGTGGAATCGGCCTGTGTGTATTAAAAAAAAAAAAAATATAAAATATGAATTAATTTTAAAACACTTGAAATTTTTGGAGTTTCCAGGACATTAATGGATAGACTTAGTGCTTACGGATTCAAGAGAATGTAAACAAAACCGTGTGGGGCGGCGAGTGACCGTATTAGAAAGTCAGGTGGGGGGGGGAGCCGTACAGCGAGTTTGGTCATAATTTGACGAAATGTCGTATTAGCGAATGCATAAAGCAAAACGCTGTAAAGCGGGGCAGTTATCCCTCTGTAATAATCATGTTTTCCATGTTATTATATTGTTTTACAAGGCATATTAGATGATTGTGATATATAAATAAGCCGTAGGATGATATTAGCATCTTATTGAAGATAATTATACTCGCCTTCCTCTTGCCTCTACCTACCTCTTTCTCCGACAGATCAATTAAAGGTTAAGTGTGATGTAAATGTTCATTTATCCATTTTATTAGTGCTTATATTTTATTTGTCATTATTTTCTGTATGTAAATCTATATTTAATCTTTAAAAAAAATATTTTTTGTTAATAATTTTGGCTGTCTGAAACAGATTTAAATGGGGTTTCCAATATTTCGTATGGGGGAAAATAGATTCGCCAAAGTGATTCGCCAGTCGGCAGGATCTCTGGAACGGATTAACACGAAACTCGGGGGGGTTCACTGTATATACCATGTTTCTGTTATTTATATTGTTTATTATGTCATATTAGATGAATTGTGATAGATAAACAAGCTGTATAGATGATATTAAGGAAATTAGTGAAGTTTAGAATTCCACTGAATAGTTTAATTTAACTGCATTTCAATTAATTTAAATGAGGAAAATTGACACTGCAATGAAGCAAATCCAGTTGCAAGCAAGGTCTTGGAATGGATTAAATTGGCTAGCAGAGGTTCCACTGTAGTCCAAGAATTATACAATGTAGACATTCCTGGCACAACCAAACAAAAAAACATTTCTCTGTTCATCGGCTATGTCACCAGGCCTTTTTATTACACTTTCTTTCCATTTGAATTTTTATTCACACAAAAAAATAAAAAGATGATTTCTTGTTATACAGACTACTCATGACTGTAAATAACGATAAATATTGTCAGTGCATTGTGACACGTATTAGATCGGACTGGTTGGTCACAAATTGGACAAGTGACCAAAATTTGTATCCTTGGAATATCAGCAAAATAAAAAAATTCCACTACTTCGGAGCGCAGTCCTTGAACTAATCAATTTCTGTATATATCAATTTCTTGTATACATATCTTCGTTTCAAATGATACAGGAACTGAAAATTACTCCATAATTAAAGTTATTTTATACCAAACACAGGATCACAGAATTTTTTTCCATCATGCACTGTGTGGAGCAGAATTTTTTTTTTTATTTGGTGTAATCACTGCATAGATCCCATTCTATCATATGAAGCCCAAATTGACCACTCATTGACGTATCTGTGTGAGCTGGAGCTAATCATGTAGTACTATGGCACAAACCTTGACAATCTGAACACAGGAAACTTGCCCAAACCCACCCCCCCCCCCGGCCTATAAAATGTCTTCCACATGAGTAAAATTGTTCTGTTAAAGTGGCTTCCAACCTCAAACTTTGTGCCTGATAATTATTCTAAGTAGTGTTTCAAATTATGCTCAATTTTGCCCCATAACCTTCGAAAAGATTTTCTTCGCATTTTAGAAAATAATTTTTAAAAATTTGTGGACATAGAGGACACTTTCAATTTAAGAGGTGTAGACAGTTTAACCCTTAAACTGTCCAAGCAGATCTACATTCACAAGCGTAGTTCTCCAAAAGTAGATCTGTTTTTTTTTTACATATTTTCAATAACAAAAAAAAAAAAAAAAAGTAGATCAAAGTTTTTTTACACTTTTTCAAGTGTAAAAAAAGAAAAGATCTACTTTATTTACATACTTTCAAATGTTGAAAAAACATAGATCTACGTTTGGACAGTTTAAGGGTTAAAGGTTAAGACTGAGACACATTTTACTGTGGCTGGTACCCGCCTAATTTACTTGAACATAATATAATGCAAAAGACTTGAGTTAAGCTAGAGTTAATCGCAAATACATGCAGAAACTTAATTGTGGAGGAGTAGCATGCAAAACCAATATATTCATGGTGTACCAAGAGCCTGCTAGGAACAGTTCAGTCAAAACCAAGGTAGGAAGGCCATATTCCAGCAAGCCTAGAGTTCTATAGCACTTTGCCATTAAGCTTTTCTTCATTACAAAAGGATTTTAGGAACTTAATTTTGCATTCCTCTTTTGGTTTTAAATTCTCCTAACAATAATAAACCACAACTGAACAATTTTTTTTATAAATTGAAAATAATCATTAAGAACATTAATATAAAGGGAAAAAATAAAACACATACCTCAACTGGTTTATCACCATCTGTTTTCTGCTTTCCCAAGACATTTACAACTCCTAGGCCCTTTACCACACGACCAAACACCACATGTTTCCCATCCAGATGAGGAGTATCCGAGAGAGTGATAAAAAACTGAGATCCATTTGTGTTTGGGCCAGCATTAGCCATGGAGAGAATGCCAGCAGAAGAATGCTTACATTCAAAGTTCTCATCTTCAAATTTCTCCCCATAAATGCTTTCACCACCTGTGCCATTGAAGTCAGTGAAGTCCCCTCCTTGTATCTTTAAATTTTTTTCGAAAACTGAAAATATAGACATCATAAACAGGATACCGGAAGAGCATTAAATATAAGGCTGAAAATTTAGATCCCAAGGGCATTGAAAAGGCAGAAAAGTTTTTAAGCTACGTGGAACCCAGTTTCCCAATTTTTAACCCCGTTCCCGGACCTTGTTCATACCCTGATTTTTTCATATGTCGAGTAAATTTTTCCTCATATTTTTTAAATTAAAAATACAATTAATCTGTTTCCGGGCCTCTCGGGAAGGCATGACAAAATAATGCAAATTTCAATCTCAGCTTATTTTTAAAAAATCAAAATTCATCAAAATTTAATAATAAACAATATTAAAAAAACAAGAAAACATAATTTATTTCTCTAAATAAAAAAATAGGCCCAAAAAATATAGAAAAGTGATGGTGAGGAAGGCGGGCGGCAAAAAAAGCATCTGCCTTTACTCCCCCTTTTGAAATTTTTCCATGCCCAAAACCCCCACACCTAGCTTGTGTTTAATATATTAGTGGTGAGGTTTTTCACATATGAAACCCACAGGTTTTGGTCAAGCAAAAGTATAAAAGGGTGAAGCCCATGATCACTGGGGCCCGGGGGGTGGTGGGGGTGGTGGGGGCGGGGGCCCACAGGGTGGTGGGGGTTGTGGGGGTGGTGGCGGCCAGTTTCCCTTTCACTATCTGCTGCCTTCTTCGTTTCTCTAGCTTTTTTCCCTTTTTTTTTAAATCGTTTTTCCTGAGTTCTTGTAAATTGACTTGAATACTGTCTTTTTGGGTAAAAGCTTTTGTGTAAAGAAATTTGTACAAAAAACAGGGGCCCCCCCCCCATGGGAAACTTTTTTCCGGGGAAAGAGGACCTTTTTTAACCCGAAATGGTCGGTTTTGGGGAATAAAATTTTCCCCATAAAAAAATGGAAATAAAATTTTAAAATCCGGCAAGACCCCAAAAGTTGAAAAAAAAAAAAATTTTCCCACATAAAAATTTTAAATTTTTAAATTTACACAAAAACCCAAAAAAAGGTTTCCCAAATTACGGGACACTTATTTTATTGAAGATCTGGTGTTGTTTGATGGGATGGTAGGAGGGGAAAGAGGGGTGTTGGGTTTTTTGAAGGGGAATCCCCTTCCATTAAGACTTGAGGGGTAACCCCTTTTGGGGTTACTTCCCTTTTTTTTTAATGCCACTAGGACCAGCTTCAGAGTCATGGACTTCTTTCGCAAAAAACAATCGGGCCTTTGGGGCCCCGTCCCTTTCCCCTTCCTTTATGCCCTTCCCTAAAGTGTTTCACAACTTTGGTCAATGAACGGGGTTCCCAAACAGGTTTAAAAAAATTTGCTGTGTGGGGTGATTTTCATCCATAAAAGGTTTGCCTTCAAGCCATTTTTGCCAGTTTTCCCTTTTTAATTTTTTGTATGGGAAAACTTTTTTCAATTTCCCCTCTCCCTCCTTTTAAACCAGTTTCCTCAGGTCGGGGCCTCTTGTGTTAAATTTTGATCTATCGCTCATCTTGGTTAGTTCTTCATTCCCCCTCCTCCCCAACTTTTCCCATTTCCTCCCCACAACCCTCCAACCCCAAGGATTTTCCCAATGCCACAATGGTTCCTCAACGGCTTAATCCTCTCGGGGTTTTGCCCTAAAAACCCTTTCAAAATCCCTTTGTTACACATTCTGGCCAAAAGTTTTTTTTCCAAGCAGAGTTAAAGGGCCCTTTTTTGGGTCACTCCCCCCCAACCCCTTCCCTAAAATTTTTAAACACAATTGGGGATTTTAAAAAGTGCTCTCCCAAAACCCCTTTTAGAGTATTGGGAGTTTCTGAGGTCATACAAAGCCCCTTTTAAAACAGAGTTTTTTGTGTAAAATTTTTTAAAGGTTTGAAAAACCCTTTGGGGCCCCTGGGCAGGAAGGAGTGGTTTTGGGGAGGAAAAAAACTTCACCTTAATGAATTTCATGTCCCCAAAAGTCGCTCTGCCACGTCTGTGGGATGCCCGGGGGCCCATTGTCTAACCCAGGGGAAATTTTAAGTTCTTTTTTTCTTTTCATTTTAGGTAATTTTCACATTGGGGAAAAATTCATGGTGAAAAAAAACCCCATTTAATGGAAAAAGTCCCTAGTGCCCCCATCCCCTTTCGGGTTTGGGCCCTCCACAGAAACCAAAAATTTTTCTCCTTGAGGACTTTCCCTTTTGCCCTGAACGGTCTGGGAGTTTCAGAGTGTTACACTAAAAAAGGGCTTCCCATTTGCAATCCCCGTAGCTTTGGGAAAACACTTTCAAAAAAGTAAGCCTTTTTTCATAGGTTATGCCCTGGGAGTCCCTTTTTCCCTTTTCCAAGTAATGTAGGTCCTCCCTTGGCATTTTTCTTCCAAAAACGGGCCTTTTTCATCACAAAAAAAACCCTTGTTCGGGTTTTCCCACCCTTCACTGTCTATTTTACTCCTTAAATTCCGGCACATTTTTTTTCACCCTGCTTTGTGGCCCAAAAACTGGCAGCCTCCCACCAGCCTTATAAACACAATGTATGCCACTCCCTTTTCTTAAATCTCTCAAACCCAAAACCTTTGCGGGCCCTTAAATTCACTCACATAAAAAAGGGTTTGCAGGCTTTTTTTTTAATTAAATCCTCTTTCAACTTCCAAAGCCTTTTGCTTATGACGCGGGGAAAACGCTTTTCCCCCTTTTTTACCCTGTTTTTCTTTATCCACCCCAAAAAAAGAGTCTTCAACATCTTCCATCACTTGCCATCTCGTTTTGAAAACACAGTTAAACCTTTGGCAAGAACGCTTCCTTGTTTCCCTTTTTCTTTTTGCCCACAATGGGTAGCGTTTGGTTTGGGAATTTGGGTTTTTTGGGTCCCAACCGGGCCCAGGTCGGCAACACCACCCCATTTTTAAAACTTAAAATTTATCTTTTTCTTCTTTCTATTGAAATTTTCACCTTATTCTGTGGGGTTGGCCTAAAAGTTTTTTTGGGGCCCAGGGTTCACTTATTTGGTTTTTTAAAATCCCCAAAAAAACCCCTTTAAATAATACGAAATTTTCCGATTGTTTGCTTGGTTTTTCCCCCCCCGCGGGGGCAGGTTTGGTAAAAAATCCCAACCAGCCACATGTAGGCGGGGCAAAGGGGGCGCACATTGGACGCATCTGGGGACAAAAAAGGCGGTGAGGGGGTTTTTTGATTTTGGAAATGCAGGAAAAAATTTTTGCGTTTTAAAAGGGGAGCGGTAGCGGATTGTACTTTATTTTGTTTGGCGAGGTATGGGGGGGCCCAAATTTTTAAAAAGGCAAATTTGGCTTTCCCCAAGGGTCTGCTGCGGCCCGAGTGAACTTCCTTTTCCCTTTAAACCCCTTTGGGTTTTGGGAAACCGGGGATACCTGTGGTCTAGAAGTACCTACGCCACCCGGGGGGTTTCCAAATTTTTTAAATTTTAAAAGCTTTTTGGGAAACAAAAAATTAAAAAAAATTTCGAGAAATGTAAAAAAAATGACAAAAATTATTTTTTCTTTTATATTGAAATTTTTATTATTTTTATTCTTGTGCATATGTTTTAATTTTTAAAAAAAGCATATGTAAAATAATAATAATTTTTTTATTTTTATTTTTATTTATTATTATTATTTTTTTTTAGGGAAGGAGCACAACCCAATTCCCTAGACCCAAAGCCATCACCAGTACATACTAAAAATATAAAAAATTTTTTAAAATTTAAAATATTAAAATAATAATAAAAATTAAAAATAAAAAAAATAATAACAGCAAGGAAAAAAAACTTAAAAAGGGGCTCCCAGTATTTTGGTTTCCCCACCATCAAAAAACCATTGGTAACCACTACTATTTACATTTTTTCCCCATTCTTGGATTTTAGTAGTCTAAAAGTACAGGGGGACCCCCAATTTTGTGTTTTTAAACCATTTAGAGAGCCTGCCAAAAGTCAAAATTCCCCGGAATGGCGAAACCTTTTTTCCCAAAACAAATAAGGGAAAATTTAACATTAACCCGTTCCAGAACCCAAAAAATATTAAAATAAATTTTTTTTTTTTTCAAATTAAATAAAGATTTACATCTGAAAACAATGGGGAAATCAAGTACATGCATATAAAAATAAAAAACAACTTTACATTACCTTTACTTAAGACTTCTAGGTGGTTTAAAAGACAGGAGGAGGGGAAGGGGAAAGGGAAATAAAAAAAAAAAATTTTTAGGGGAAGGAGAATCCCCTTTTCCATTGGGTTTAAAGGTTGAATTTCCTTTTTTGGGGGTTACCCCCCTTCTTTGTTTTTTAAAGACATTGGCACGGGGAAAAAAATTGAGGGGTTATTTTGGGAAACCCTTTTGGGCACAAAAATCTGTCCAGAAGAGCTCTTTTTTTTCTGGCATTTTTTTAAGATTTGTCTAAAGCGGGACAAAACACTGTCTTGGGTACTTGTTGCCAATAGGGCCCTGCAACAGCTTTTTTTGGGGTGAATTTTAAACCAAGCTCTGAAAACCCGGAAAATCCACCCCTCATATTTTTAAATGATTTCCCTTTTGAATTCGATCGGGTTTCCTCACTTTCTTTACCCAAAAGGGTTTGCAAATTTTCCCTTGGGGCCCTTGGTACTTATTTAGCATTTTGCAATTGCAAAAAAAAATTTGGAGTTTTTAACTTATAAACCCCCCGGGGTAAAGGTCATGTGTTGGAAAACCCAAATGGCCCCACTGAGCTTTGAAGGGCGGGGGAGACTGGCTTTGTGTGCGCGGTGATGAGCGGGGGGTACCGGACGGTTGCCAAATCTGAGTAAAAAACACAACGCGGGGCCAAATTTTCCCGGGAAAAAATTTTGCTGAAAGTTGAAGTTCCGAAAGTAAAATCCCTCCCCCAAACTAAAGGGGTTTCCACTGAAAATTGGGTTTAATTTTCTCCCCCGAAATCCCTCAGCATAACAGTGGCTTTCTTTGCTCCAATTATTGTAAAACACACAAACCCTTTTGAAAAGAAAAAAATATTTTTTTTTTTAAATTTAAGGAACCCCCCTTGAGG